GAGGGGCAGAGAGAGAGGGAGACACAGAATCGGAAACAGGCTCCAAGCTCTGAGCCATCAGCCCAGAGCCTGACGCGGGGCTCAAACTCCCGGACCGCGAGATCGTGACCTGGCTGAAGTCGGACGCTTAACCGACTGCGCCACCCAGGCGCCCCTTTCCCAGTATTTTTAAAATAACTTGAAACTTATCCAAACCACAACTTCTTCTTCAAGACACAGTTTTTACCAGAAGTCCCTTAGCCTCATAAGAGTGTTTAGCAGTTTGTCTCTGAGCTCTGATCTCTTTGACTGAAGCAGAGCTCTGGTGACATCTTCAAGAGCAAGTGGTAAAAAAGAGCCTCCTGAATCTTCTGAATACAGAAGATGATGGTACGAGAAGGGCAACCTCAAGATAGAGGTGAGCATTCCTTTTCTCAGTTCCAGAGAGGAAGGCAGAAGTATACGATGAGCTGATAAAGGTCATTGGGAAACAAGGGGTAGACCACAGATTGATGGGACCAAGATTGGGCCACCGTAGTAAGAGTGATGGGAAGTTGAAAGAAAGAATAATTCGTCAGAGCCAGAAGCACTTCAAACAGTAAGAAACCAAATACTAATACAGTGGTATGGGAAGAGGGAGGCAAAGTGATGTTTTCAGCAAGACAGAGACTCAATGGATTAGCATAATATTTAAGAAGAAAGAATAAGGAAATGGGAATTATGGTTGACTGAGGGTGAGTTTTGCCCAGATCGTTTAGGACTACAGAGCCACTACTTGCTTATTTATTCTGAAAGAGTCTTCCCCGCCCCCCTGCCGCCCTTATTTTTTAGAGAGAGCATGAGTGGGGGAGAGGGAAAGAGGGAGAGAGGGAGCGAGGGGGAGAGGGAGAGGAGAGAGAGAGAGAGAGAGAGAGAGAGAGAGAGAGAGAGAGAGAATCCCAATGCAGGGCTCAATCCCATGACCCTGGAATCATGACCTGAGCCAAAGTCAAGAGTCCAACACTCAACCGACCAAGGCACCCAGGAACCCCTATTCTGAGGGAGTTTCTAAGCTCTCTCTTGTTGTAGGTTTTTAATTACTCTGAGATTCTTCATCTGGTTTCTTCATTGCTCTAAGCTTCCTAAAAATTTTCACTTCCTGGCTTCTTGATAACTGCTTTTGTCTTGCTGGTCTGACAGAGAAAGCAGTATGGTGGTCCCAAGTAAGATTCTGGTCTGCTGCTGTGATTTCCATAGCACTCCTCAGTGCTTGTTTCATTGTGAGCTGTGTGGGTAAGTTCTTCACTCAGGTGCCACTTCCCTTGATTCCTTTTCCTATCCTGTTCTATAAAGATTTCCTAGGGTATGTTTTTTGTTTTTGTTTTTTTTAATTTCATTAATATGTTAGCTCTTACTTGGAATACCATATTTGATTTCTCCTCCTCCTCCTTCCTTCCCGCCTCTTTTTCCATCTTTTGATAATTGACTCTGCTTCCGGATCTACTTTACCTGGTTTTATTAACACGATCCCCACTATGGCCCCACATATGAATGTGTGTTAGTTGTAGACATCCTTTAAGACACATCATCCACTACCGGGTTTCCTAGTGATCACTGTTCTCTGGGCAAAAAGTCCTCTATTTTGAGACTTCAACTATAATTACTTTTATAATCATAATATAGATTAGGCTCTTTGATTTTCATATGGGAGTCTTTCCCAGTATGAGACGAAAAAGTTTTCAAATGCAATCTTGGAGATATAAGGGAATGAAGTTTTGTTTTCCTTGTTCAATTTACTTGCAAGTAAATATTTCAAGTTCATTTTGTGAGAAGTTTCAAAGATCTGTTTGCTTTTTAAGCTGCAATTTGGTCCTCTTTTCATTGATAACGTAATTAAAAATAATATTGAATAGTCTGGGAGGGAGTGAAAGTGACTACCTATGTCAAATGGGCCATGTTTGAAATTCCTTCTGAGATGTAAACCAATCTCACAGCCTTTGTTGAAACACGGTTATCACCTAAGTTAAAATCTGCTTTACTTTTCATGGTCAAGTGCAAAAGAGAAGGAGGTTTAAGAATAGTTATTTCATTAAAGGAAGCAGATATTCAGGACCCAAGGTAGAAAGTCTTGACTGTATTGAGCTTCAGTAGTAGAAGGGCAAGAAAAAGTAAGTGAAGAGTCATGGCAGAACCTGAGAGAGAATAGGTCATATGCTTAAGGCACACACCCTTGAGCATAAAAGTGAATGTTTATCTGAGACATTTAAAATGTTTAAATGTTGGGGCGCCTGGGTGGCGCAGTCGGTTAAGCGTTCGACTTCAGCCAGGTCACGATCTCGCGGTCCGGGAGTTTGAGCCCCGCGTCAGGCTCTGGGCTGACGGCTCAGAGCCTGGAGCCTGTTTCCGATTCTGTGTCTCCCTCTCTCTCTGCCCCTCCCCCGTTCATGCTCTGTCTCTCTCTGTCCCAAAAATAAATAAACGTTGAAAAAAAAAATGTTTAAATGTTAAAAGTTCCCCTTGGTTGTTATTTACCCCATACGTTTATCTGTAGCTACCAACAGTCAGAAATTTTAGAAAATATTAAAATAACCTGCAAGCTTGCTTCAGGATTATTAACATTAAGGAGAAACAGACAGCCAGTGAGTCAGAAAATATCTATTGATTACTCTGTGACCATCACTGTTCCAGGTGTTGGCGATCGATTGATGTGGAAAACAGATCAAATCTCTGCCCAAGAATATAGAACTTAAATTCCAGTGCGGAAAGAACCAAAAAATAAACGGGCAGGCATATAAACAAACAAAATTAATGAATACAAACAAGTCGTAATTCAGCGTAGTGTTTATGAGCTTGCCTAGAGAGAAGAGATTGGTGGGGGTTGGAAGCAAGCCAGCTTGGCAAGAGATATAGAGCATGACTCTCTATAATAAAAACAAATGATGAATACTAATCCTTCTGTTCCTTCACAGTGACTTATCATCTTACATATGGCAAAACTGGCCAAAGGCTGTCTGAACTACACACACGCCACTCAGGTTTAACCTGCTTCAGGGAAGGGACAAGCATGAGAGGTAAGGTGTTGCAATGCCTAACCAGACTTTCTCTTTTCTCAGAGAGAGGTCAAGGTCAAGTTCAACATTGGTTTATTCCTTTTTTTTTTTTTTTTTGAAAAAATAAAGTCTCTGCTTTAAGATATCTCTAAATTTACATGTTCATATCAGGCTTTAGATTCATCCTCAAAACAATTTTTCCTCCAGACTGCTTGATCTCAATAAATGCTACCAACACATACCATGTACTTTGCTCAAGCGAACACTGGAAGTTATTCATAACAGTTCTCCTTTCACATTAACCACATCCTAATCAAATGGATAAAATCTTCTTTTTTTTATCTAAAGTTCTCAGTAATAGCCATCTGCATGCCAAGCATCAGCTATATTACTGGTCAGTGTGAATCCTGGAACATGGTTCAGGATGAGATTGCCCTCACTGTAAAATATAGTCCTGGTAACTTCCTATGTGAAGAGCTGGGGCAGTTGAATTCAGAATCATAATTTGCCCCACACTATGTCTGGTGAACAAAGTCAAAAAAAGGTAAAGTACATGTTTGTAGTAGTCTTTATGGCCTTACTCTTTCCAAGAAAAAAAAAAAATCCAAGTAGATTTCAGACTCTTGCTACTTCAAGAACTAAATAATCCAATCCTCTGCTTCTATGTGGAAACCTATGAGGGGTAAAACGAGGGCAGATGTTTCTTTGTATTTCTATGAGATGTTGGAATTTTCCCTTTTATGTTATTTGGCAACAATATGGTACATGGGGTGGTTAGGGGGGATTTTCTTTACTCTCCCTGACTTCTGGTTCTCTTGTCACCTTGGGGTTCTTTTGTCAAACAATTGTGGAGCTGGCCCTACTGAGGAGGGAGACAATTCTATCAGGAGGTAGGCACTCCAACAACTGGAATTTTAAAGAATGCCTTCTTGGAAGCAGCCATGGGTGCTTTACCCTTTGCCTTCAGAATGTTCTGAAATGAACGAGACAGAGATGGATATTAATGAAATGAACCCTACATTTGCAGAAGAGACTGCAAATTTACTCCTTAAAAATACCCAACCTGGGGGCGCCTGGGTGGTGCCGTCGGTTAAGCATCCGACTTCAGCCAGGTCACGATCTCGCGGTCCGGGAGTTCGAGCCCCGCGTCGGGCTCTGGGCTGATGGCTCAGAGCCTGGAGCCTGTTTCCGATTCTGTGTCTCCCTCTCTCTCTGCCCCTCCCCTGTTCATGCTCTGTCTCTCTCTCTGTCCCAAAAATAAATAAACGTTGAAAAAAAATAAAAAAAAAAAAACCCAACCTGGTATTATTTATGGTCAACTAAGCTCATCAATACAACTAATTCAAGTTACACGATTCAAGCTTACATGATAAAATTATTTTACTTAATACCATATCAGCAAATAAAAGGGCCCCAATGTTAACAATATCTTTTCAAATTCTTATTACAATGAAGAGGAAGAGCAAAAGTCTAAACACAAAATTTTCATTTCAATTACAGTTAAGAAATAATTGATAGTCTCAGTGTGTCTTCTCCAATTTGTTTCCCCCTGAGTCCCAGTCAGAGTGTTGAGATGTTCAGATGCCCGGATAAAGTTTCTTCAGTAGAGCTGAGCTCTAACCTAGACCTGTAGTTTTCAAATTCAGGTCCCAACAAGGATTTTGAAAAACTACATACCCTCTTATACAATTTATTTTGACATTAATTTTTTTTTTTTACCAAGTTGTAGAAATGAAAGGTTTAAGTTCTAAAATATAAGTATTGGGGCGCCTGGGTGGCTCAGTGGGTTGAGCGTCCAACTATGGCTCAAGTCATGATCTCGTGGTTTGGGAGTTCGAGCCCCGCGTTAGGCTCTGTGCTGACAGCTCAGAGCCTGGAGCCTGCTCTGGATTCTGTCTCCCTTTCTCTCTGCCCCTCTCCTGCTCACACTCTGTCTCTGTCTCTCTCAAAAAGAAATAAACATTAAAAAAATAAAAATAAAATATTGTAAGTATTGACATCTAAAACACAAAACTCTTGCAACTCCTTTCAAAATCTCTCTGCTGGTGTTGAAATACTACCATCATTCATTAAAAAAAAAAGTATGTATTCTTTAACAGTTGGATGTTTTACATTATTCTTTTTCCCTCTTCAACTAATGTTTACATCACACTTCCTTGATTTTCTAAAATATGTACTATATGTCTGATATTTTCATTTCCTGAGGGCCATTAGGCTTTACATGTTATAAAATTTCTTCCAGATTGACTTATCATTACGTATCATTGACTTATCCACATTATGAGGATACAATATTCAACACATCACATTTATTACAAATTTTGATAAATTATTACCAATAAAATAAAACTATTAGAAACTCACCTCTGTCTCTTTTTAAATTTAGCTTAGAGAGGGAGAAAGAGCACGAGCTGGGGAGAGGGGCAGGGGAAGAGAGAGAGAATTGCAAGCGAGCCCTGAGGTGGGGCTTGATATCACAACCCTGGGATCATGACCTGAGCTGAAATCAAGAGTCAGATACTTAACCAACTGAGTCACCCAGGTGCCCCAGCTCATCTCTCTCTCTCTCTCTCTCTTTGTGTGTTTTGTTTTGTTTTGTTTTGTTTTTTTTAGAGAGAGGGCGCAATTGAGCAAGGGGCAGGGGGAGAGAGTGAATCTCATGAAGGGCAGAAAGAGACAGAGAGAGAGAGAAGGGCTCACCCAGAGCGGGGCTCGAGCTTACCCGAAGCACCACAACTCATCTCTTAATGAGTTCAAAAAAAATCTTTTAACGACTTAAAAAAAAAATACAATCAGTCGGGTGCCTGGATGGCTTCGTTGCTTGCATGTCTGACTTTGGCTCAGGTCATGATCTAGCAGTTTGTGAGTTCGAGCCTGGCACCTGGCTCACTGCTGTCAGTGCAGAGCCAGCTTTAAATCCTCTGTTCCCCTCTCTCTCTGCCCCTCCATCCGTCTCTCTCTCTCTCTCATAAATAAATAAACATTAAAAAAATTTAGAAAAAACAATCAGTTGTATCCTAATATTACTAGAATGAGATAGAATTCAACATCAGTTCTGTTCCTATTTTTCAATTTAGTGACACATACCAATAAATCTTACTTATATAAATAAGTAGGAATAGAAGGTGATTTGTTAGAATATCACCAGTTTTTAAACTTTTTAAAAGTTATTTGCCAAAAATCATCCAGTTTTCTGTTATCAAAAATTATTTTAATGGTGTGTTAACTGAGCATTGATTAGATTATTCTTCAGTGTTGTTGAGAGTAGAGAATAATAAATGGGATAATTTGCAAAAGGTTGTTATTTCTTAGTAGTCATTTGCTTTCTCAATTTCAAGGTAGTACACTAGAAAAGGTTTTAGTAACTCTTGTCAAATGACTTCTAATTACACCTGCTTTTTAATAGGTACCTTAATAGGTACTGTTTTTTAGTCAAAGTACTTGATCAGTCCATTATTCTCAGAGCAATTGGGAACACAAAATATTATTAATGTTAGTGTACCTTTTTGACAAGTGCTTCTATTCATCAATATTCTTGTCAACCCCAGAGCTAGAGATTCAGCACATTCATCATATGCAAAATGTTTGCCGTATATAATTTAGTTGACCAAGACGGTACCGACCATCAAAACAGTCAGCCAAATCAGACTTTTTAAATTGAAATAATCACGTTAATACATGCTTTGAGGAGTGCTGTGAAAAGCAGTCTTTTTTTTTTTTTCCAACGTTTTTTTTTAATTTTTTTATTTTTGGGACAGAGAGAGACAGAGCATGAACGGGGGAGGGGCAGAGAGAGAGGGAGACACAGAATCGGAAACAGGCTCTAGGCTCCGAGCCGTCAGCCCAGAGCCCGACGCGGGGCTCGAACTCCCGGACCGCGAGATCGTGACCTGGCTGAAGTCGGACGCTTAACCGACTGCGCCACCCAGGCGCCCCATGCAGTCTTTAATAATGAACAGAACACAGGGGCGCCTGGGTGGCTCAGTTGGTTAAGCATCTGACTCTTGATTTCGGTCGTGATCCCACAGTTTATGGGTTCGCGCCCCATGTGGAGTTCTGTGCTGGCAATGTGGAGCCTGCTTGGGATTGTCTCTCTCTCCCTCTCTGTCCCTCCCCTGCTCGCTCTCTGTCTCTCAAAATAAATAAATAAACTTTAAAAAAACTAATGAACAGAATACATACTTGAGATAGATTTCTACAAGTGGCTAATATTAAAATGATAGAGACGTGGCCTATTTCATACAACTTATAGTATTATAAAAGATAAAAAAGCCTGTACATTGTTTGTCGTCCCTTAATGATGTAATAACATACAAAATAAATAAAATAGACCTATATGCAACACAGATGAATCTTAGCAATGTGGGTCAAAAAATTAAGCCCGAGAAGACCAGATATATTAAAATAGCTTTAAAAACACTCAGACCTCAACAAATCTAAATGACTTGTTATGTATTTATATATATGTATATATAATACACACACATATATATGTATCTTATATACGTATGTATACCTATTTGCTCAAATCATTCACCTGCGTGGGTCATTTGAAATCCTGAGAGACCTTGATGTTTCTAATGTATAAAGGATTTGAAGGACAGGGAAAAACAATGATAATAGCTTTTTTTTTTTTTTTTTTTTTTTTTTTTTTTTGGCAAGAAATCCAGAGCAATTATGCAGGTAAACTTTAGGGCTTAAATATTGTGGGCTTAATGCTAAACAATGTTTATTTAAAAGCAGATCTATGGCTCCAAGCTATATAATTCAGGGAAACAGTTAATACGTGAAATAAGAAACCCATCTCTAGAAAAGAAATGCAGATTCTTGGAATTTTATGTGTACGAAACATACCTCTTTAATCTTATTCATGCCGTCTCGCGCTCATTCTTCTCTTTCATGCAACACAGGGAATGTCTGGGCATGTTGCCCATGTGCTTGGAAGTCATTTGGTTCCAGCTGCTACTTCATTTCTACTAAACAGAATTTTTGGTCAAAGAGTGAACAGAACTGTGTTGCAATGGGTGCTCACTTGGTGGTGATCAACACAGAAGCAGAGCAGGTACTTGTGTTTATTTTTCATTAAATTGTTTTTAATTGTGGAAGAAAATACGGATGTTAACCATCTGAACTGGTTTTAAATGTAGAGTTCAGTAGTGTTACCCATATTCATATTGTTGCGAAAAGATCTATCTCTACAACTTTTTCATCGTGCAAAAGTGAAACTCTATACCCTTTTAACCGCAACTTCCATTGCCCCCCACCTCCAGTCCCCGGTAACCCCCCTTCTATCGAACTTCAATGAGTTTGACTCCTTTGGACACCTCGTATAAGTTGAACCACACAGTGTTTGGTTTTTTGTGACGGCCTTATTTCATGTAACATAATGTCCTCAAAGTTCATTCATGATGTAGCAGTAACAGAACTCTCTTCCTTTTTAAGGCTGACTAATATTCCATTGTGCATATACCACGTATCATTTATCCATTCAAGTGTTGATGGACATCTGGGCTGCTTTTACCTCTTGGCTATTGTGACTAATGCTGCAGTGAACATGGGTGTGCAAATGTTTCCATGAGTCTTGCTTTCAGTAACTTTGGATATATACCCAGAAGTTGGATTTCTGGATCATATAGTAATTCTAATTTTAACTTATTTGAAGAAACTGCACTGTTTTACATTGTGTCTGTACTATTTTATACTCCCACAAAGAATGCACAAGGATCCCAATTTCTCCACATTCTTGATAGCACCTGTTATTTTCCTCTCTTTTTTATTAAAAATTTTTTTTTAAAAATGTTTATTTATTTTTGAGAGACAGAGACATAGACAGAGCACAAGTCAGGAAGGGGCAGAGAGAGAGAGCAAGAAGGAGACACAGAATCCAAAGCAGGCTCCGGGCTTTGAGCTGTCAGCACAGAGCCCAATGGGGGGCTCGAACTCGCCAACCATGAGATCATGAGCTGAGCTGAAGTTGGCTGCCTAACTGACTGAGCCACCCAGGTGCCCCTCTTCTCTTTTTTATTTTGATAGCGGTTGTCCTAATGGGTGTGAGATTATATATTCCATTATGGTTTTGATTTTCACTTCTCTAATGGTTAGCGATAGTAAGACTCTGTCCTGTACCCTCGTGCACTGTTGGTGGTAATGCAAACTGATGCAGCCTCTGGGGAAAACAGTATGGAGGTTCCTCAAAATTAAAAATAGAATCACCGGGGGCGCCTGGGTGGCGCAGTCGGTTAAGCGTCTGGCTTCAGCCAGGTCACGATCTCGCGGTCCGTGAGTTCGAGCCCCGCATCAGGCTCTGGGCTGATGGCTCGGAGCCTGGAGCCTGTTTCCGATTCTGTGTCTCCCTCTCTCTCTCTGCCCCTCCCCCGTTCATGCTCTGTCTCTCTCTGTCCCAAAAATAAATAAAAACGTTGAAAAAAAATTAAAAAAAAAAAATAGAATCACCATATGATCCAGCAATTGCACTATTGGATATTTACGTGAAGAATATGAAAATGCTCATTTGAAAGGCTATAGGCACCCCTATGTTTACTGCAGCATTATTTACAATAACCAAGATATAGAAACAGCCCAAATGTCCATAGATAGATGAATGGATAAAGAAGATGTGGTATAGCTATGTATGTGTGTGTGTGTGTGTGTGTGTGTGTGTGTGTGTGTGTGCATATCTCAATACATACATACATACATACATACATATGTATACATACACCATGGATTATTATTCAGCCATAAAGAAGAATGAAATCTTGCCATTTGCAACAACATGGATGGAGCTAGAGTATTATAATGCTAAGTGAAATAAGTCCGTCAGAGAAGGACAAATTTCACTCATATGTGGATTTTTAGAAAAGCAAAACAAATGAACATTGGGGAAGGGAAAGAAAAGGAGAGAGGGCAGCAAACCACGAGAGACTTTTAACTCTAGAGAACAAACTGAGGGTTGGTGGAGGGAGGAGGGTGGAGAATAGGTTAAATGGGTGGTGGGTATTAGGGAGGGCGCTTGTGATGAGTACTGAGCGTTGTATGTCAGTGATGAATCACTAAATTCTACACCTGAAACAAGTTTTACCATATGTGTCAACTAATCAGAATTTAAATAAAAACTTGGAATTAAAAAAAAAATTGTGTCTCCTTTGATTTCTTTAAAAATGTGTAATTTTCAAATTATAAGATTTCCACTTTCTTTGCTAAGTTTATTCCTGAGTATTCTGTTCTTTCGATGCTACCGTAAGTGAGGTGGCTTTCTTAATTTGCTTTTTGTATTGCTTATTGTTATTGCATAGACACGCAACTGGCTTTTGCATGTATATGCTGCATCCTCCAACTTTCCTGAATTCGTGTATTAGTTCCAACGGCGGTTTTCCAGCTTTAAAGAGATATAGTTGTCATATAAAATTGTATGAGCTTAAGGTGTGCAATGTGAGGACGATGTATGTATGTGTTGCACCATGATTCCCTCAAAAGGTTAGTTAACACATCCATCAATTTACGTAATTACCATTTGTTTTTGCGGTTGGAATATTTCAGTCCTATTCTCAGCTTTGCAGGATCCAGCACAGCATTGTTAACTATAGTCACCGTGCTGAACATTACAGTTCCAGAACTTGGATTCATCTTGTAACTAGAAGCTGGAACTTTATGATTACCATCTTCCCATTTCCCCCGCACTCCAGCACCTGAACCACGGTCATGGTCTATTTCTTCCATCCAAGTACTAACCAGGCCCGACCCTTGCTTAGCTTCCGAGATCAGACGAGATCGGGCGTGTTCAGGGTGGTATGGCCGTAGACTGTTATAGTCTATTTCTATACGTGGCTTTTTAATTGCAATGAAATAAATGTAATTTAATTAATTTACTTTTTCTTTGAGTACAGTTGACACACACTGTCACATTGGTTTCAGGTGTCAACAAACATAGTGATTTGACAAGTTTATATGTCATGCTATGTCGGCACAAGGGTAGCTACCGTCTTTCACCCGACAATAGTGTTGCAATACCTGTGACTATATTCCTTATGCTGAGCCTTTTATCCCTGTGATTTATTCATTCTGGAAGTTTGGCTTTTTTTAGAATTCACGCGTGAGTAAGATCGTACTGTACTTGTGTCTCCCTCACTTATTTCGTTTGGCTTAGTGCCCTTAACATCCATCCATGTTGTCACAAAGGGCAGTATCTCCTTCATTTTTATGGCTGAGTCATGTTACGCTGTATATTTCCCACACTTTCTTTATTCATTCATCCATTTATAGACTCTTAGGTTGTTTTCATGTCCGGGTTTGGTAATTAACGCCGCAATAAAGATGGGGTTGCAGCTATGTCTTGAAAATAGTGGTTTTATTTCCTCTGGAAATCCCCAGAAGAGGGATTGCTGGATCATATGGAAGTTTTATTTTCAGTCTTTTGAGGAACTTCCGTATTGCTTTCCCTATTGGCTGTGCCAGTTTACATTCTCATCAACAGGGCACATAGGTGCCCTTTTCTCCACATTCTTGATGGCATTTATTATCTTTCGATATTAACATTTATTTTCTTTCATATCTTTTGAGATTAGTCATCCTAACGGGTATAAGGTGATATCTCCTTGCGGTTTTGATTTACATTTTCTTAACAATTAGTGATATTGAACATCTTTCCATACCTAGTGGCCAGTTGTTTGTCTTCTTTGAAAAAATATCTATTTGGGGCGCTGGGGTGGCTCAGTCGGTTAAGCATCCAACTTGGCTCAGGTCATGATCTCATGGTTTGTGAGTTTGAGACCCGCATCAGGCTCTGTGCAAACGGCTCAGAGCCTGGAGCCTGCTTCAGATTCTGTGTCTCTCTGCCCTCCCCTGCTCATGCTCTGTCTGACTGTCTGTCTCTCTCTCTCAAAAATAAGTGAACATTAAGAAAAAAATTGGAAAAAAAGAAAAAAATGTCTATTCAGGCCCTTTGCCCATTTAAAAAAAATTTTTTTTTCAACGTTTATTTATTTTTGGGACAGAGTGAGACAGAGCATGAATGGGGGAGGGGCAGAGAGAGAGGGGGACACAGAATCGGAAACAGGCTCCAGGCTCCGAGCCATCAGCCCAGAGCCTGACGCGGGGCTCGAACTCACGGACCGCGAGATCGTGACCTGGCTGAAGTCGGACGCTTAGCCGGCTGCGCCACCCAGGCGCCCCAGCCCATTTTTAATTGGATTTAAATTATTTAATTTAATTTTGTTGTTGAGTTGTGTAAGTTCTTTATATAGTTTGGATATTAACCTTATCTGTAGCTGGTTTGCCAAAATTTTTTTCCCATTCCATAGGTTGCCTTTTCTTTTTGTTGATTGTTTTTTTGGTTTTGTTTTGTTTTTTTACTGTGCAGAACTTCTAAATTTGATGTAGTCCCACTTTAATTTTGTCTATGCTTCTGGTGTTATATCCAAAACTTCATTGTCAAGACCAATGTCAAGGAGGTTTTCCTCTACATTTCTTTTTCTAGAAGTTTGTTTCAGGTCTTGCATATGTTTTTAGTCCATTTTGAGTTAATTTTTGTAAGTGGAATAACATAATGGTCCAATTTTATTCTTTTGCAAGTGATTATCCAGTTTTTCCAATACCATTTATTGAAGAGACTATCTTTTGAATATTTTTGGCTCCCTTGTCATATATTAGTTTATTGTATGTGCATAGGTTTATTTTTGGACTCTATTCTGTTCCACTGGTCTATGTTCCTGTTTTATGCCAATACGATAATGTTTTGATTACTATAGATTTGTAATATAGTTCAAAATTAGAATATGTGATGATTCCACCTTTATCTTTCTCAAGATTTCTTTAAGTATTTGGGGTGTTTTATGGTTCCATATCAATTTTAGGATTGTTTTTTCTGTTTCGGTGAAAAATGCTATAGGTATTTAATAGGTAGAGATTAATTACATTAAATCTACAGATGGCTTTGGGTAATCTAGGCATATTAACAATATTAGGTCTTCCAATCCATGAACATGGGATATGTTTCCATTTATTTGTGTCTTTCCCAATTTCTTTCATCAATGTATTATAGTTTTCAGTGTACAGATTTTTAAT